CCATCTTAGGCATTGGAAGGAGCTTGCGAAGTCCCTGACTATGATACTTTTTGTAGTTTGTAGAGTAGGAATGAGCTAGTTCTCTGCTCTTTCCTCAGAGTAGCAGATCTGTAATGTCCAAAGTATATTAATGTCTATAATGCAGGGCCTCGTAGCCAGAATGGCTGTATGTAAACTTGGGCTTTTTTGTATTTATAGTGATCTCTTCAATTTATAGTATGTTCTCATATTTCCAACCTCAGGACCGGTAGTGGCAAAGGTCCTGAGAATTCAGAGATGTGCAGTAATGTGCCTCAGTGGAGAAAGGCTTCCCAAACACGTGGTGAACTCCTCTGTATTATTTAGAACAGTGCAAAATAATTTCTGAACATACTTAATTATTTAGGTGGCACCCCTGCTTACAGACCAGGTTTGTGAGAACAGCCACAGAGTTTTGAAGTCTGAGAAATATAAAGCAAATATGCAAGTGTTATCAAGGACAGGGTAAAAATTTGTGAAGGACAAATTCCAGAAAGGGCTTCCTGTTAATTTCTCACCGAAAAATGCCGCAATTTAGGCATTTGCACGGACATATACACATGATATCCTTGTGAATGGAAAGAATAGGGGTGTCATCTCTGAATTAAGAGCTGATTTAGTAGCTTGGTTTTTCAGAGACAGTTTAAGTATAGAGATGCTCTGCAATGGACTTATCTAAGTGGTGTAAAGGAGAAGCCCTAAAGGGAAACTTTGCAGTGATATTAATAAATAGTTGACACCAACTGGGGGAAATTGTACATACAATAGGAAACAATGATCGAGATCCTTCCCACACAAATGATAAATTGTATACATACAGTCTTCAGACAGATTGTGGGGATGTTAACATTCCTTGTTGCTATACCCTTAGTTACAGGGGGTTTGACTAAAAGGTGGATGTAAATGATAAAGCCCTGTGTGATACCTAACAAAGGCAGCCATTGAGGGCCATGCCATCAGAATTGTTGTTAGTATTCAAAAATGCATTCCTCCTGCTGTGACTCTGTACAAGAATGTATAGGCATATGTAGCAAAACTTACTTCACTGCTGAGCTTATGAGGACAAGGGCTGAAAGAGTTAAAGGTGATTGGTTGACAAATCTGACAGTGATAGGAAGTTCAAAGTATGCCCAAGCCTCATGTCTCAACATGGTTGATAAATCAGTGTGCTGGAGCAGGGTGGCCCCTATACATGTGTCTGATAGGGGTGGGCTGCAAGGTAAGATCAGAAAACTCTGGTGGTTGAGGAACGAGTCAAGCTGCTAATAAAAAGAAGCTGCCTAAATCACAGGGAGTTGGTCTAGATGCTCTAACTTATGATATTCTAGAGGCCAATCATAAAACCTTAAATGTTTCCAACCCAACTTTGGCTGAAGAATTGCTGGTTATGCATGGCACAGGGCTCCCCATCTCCCTTGCCATCCCCAGCAGTGTTTCTCTGGCTACACTGGGGAAACAAGATTTCTTAAATTGTAGTGCTGGTCCCCCCTTTAGAGTACAACCAGTAGGCTTCAAAGACTCTTTCTGTCTTCAAGGTTTTCATAAGGATACCTCCAACATTGACGTGGAGTCCGTTACATTTACTGATTGTAGTTCCATAGTTAACCGGACTACCTCTTTTATCTTGCCAAAGGACAAGTATTTATTTGTGGAGGAATTATGGCCTATACCTTCCTCCAACTAACTGGACAGGGATATATATAACAGCTGTCCTGTTGCCTGATATAGAGATCCTACCCATGGATGAGCCCATCCCCATTCCTAGTTTAGATTACATCACAGGCCACTCAGAGAGGGCAATTCAATTTATTCCTTATTGGTAGGCCTAGAGATAGTCAGGAGCCTGAGGTATGGGGCCAGCAGGAGTAGGGGTTTCTGTCCAACCTTCCAACCAGATTGTTAATGATGTGCAGGCATTATCTAGTACCATTCAGGTCATTCAAGACCAAATAGACTTGTTGGCTGAAGTAGTTCTCCAAAACAGAAAGGGACTAGACCTAATACTCCTAGAGGAGGGTGGCCTATGTGCCGCTCTAAAAAAAAGTGCTGTTTTTAGTGCGGAGTTATGTTTTTATGTTTATTCAGGCATAATAAAAGACGGCATGTCCAAACTCAGAGAAAATATCAAAACTAGAAAAAAAATACTCTTCGGGGACATCCTTCTCTTCCCTATGGCAAGGGCTAGCTCCTTATGTTGTCCCCCTCCTAGGCCCTTTAGCTGCTTTGCTCTTACTCCTTACCATTGGTCATTGCATTCTAAACAAGATTACACATCTGGTGTGATCACAGGTCTCCAAGGAAAAGATGATGGTCTTGAGATACCAATATAATCCAATACCTACTAATAATCTCTAGGATTAGAGATACTCACAAGAAAAGGGGGGAATGAAGGGTAAAACATTTAGGAAACCCCCTCTTGCTTGTCACACGGTCAGAACAACCAGATGTTCTGGCCTGATAGGGAAGTTGTGGTCCAACGTCCCCAAAAATAAGAGCACCGTGAACTATTGACCCTGCCAGATGGGATATGAGTTTTCAAAACATCAAGCCCCCTGCAGTGGATAGCTCACCCACCAATAAGCAAATGACATGACCCCTATTAACCAATGTCATCTGCTTCTGTAACCAATGCTTGCTTTTCAGTTTTCAGCTTTATATACTCTGCACTCCCCTACCCGGGCACTCTCTCCCCTCTCCCCCCTAGAGTGCAGTCGGAGAGTCCCTCACATGCACGGATAATAAAAGCCCTTGATTTTTCATGAGACCTGGTTCCTTGGGGTCTTCTTCACAACGGTGATCTTACAATGTTAATAGTTAGGCATGAAGAGTTTTCTGCTTGGGATGGGTCAGAGTAGTGTGGAAACCATGTGGAAGTGACTGACAGAATGCAGACAGCCAATAGCAGGACATAAAACAGAGAGGGTATTCATTGAAAGTCAGGTAGTTCTTAGAGTAAGAATGAAGTTAAAGTTGGGTTCTGATTGCTTCCTTGAGGTGATCAACATCAGCTCTGGTAACAATCAGTATTCCACATCCCTGTCAACCCATGATTTTTGTGTTCCATACTTGAGATCTAATTTTGATTATCTCTAATTATGCCCCAGTGTCATGAAGCTAAAATTTGAATTTTTTTATACAAAGGATCGAAATCATGACCTATGCTTTCCAGGCAGGCGGTCATGTCACTGAGCTAAATACCCAACTATAAAAGTGTTTTCTGTGTAGTATGGGAGATATCCACTTTGTTTCTCAGAAAGTGTTTAATATTGTTGGAATTTTTCTGTATTGTATGCCTATAATTTTTTAAAACAAACCAAAGTGTCTTACACAGTCTCTTTTTAAGTTTCCCTTTGTCTGTGGGGTGTCTGAGTCAGGGTTTCTCTATTTTAGACATCTCTGCAACTTAGGATAGCCCCAAATTCAAGGAAAAACTCCTTCACCAGCCTCCCAATATATATTTCTTATATCTGAATTTAATGTGATCACCTGGTGAGAGTGATATATAATTTACAGCCTGGGCCTTGTTTCATTTTATATACATATTTTTTTAAATACAGCAGTTTTCCACTAACATTTGAGTTATTATTTATGTACCATATTTGATGTTATTTATGTTTTGTTCTATGCAACCTAATTCATATTTCAAAATGCTGCTTAAGTATATTAAGAACAAAGTACTCACTAGCCTAAATGAGATTTGAAGAGTCGTCATCTGTAGTCTATCAACGAGATTGATGAGATATTATTTTTTTCCTTTAAATTTGAAGGTTGTAAAATACAACAGAACAAGGCAGAATAAGGCCAACTAAGATTGTACAGTTAAACTGGTACACAACTTCACAACAGGTTACTGGGATAAAAGTAATTGTATCACAGTATATTTCATTATCTTTATAATAGTTTTTATCATGTATATCAAAATGAGATGAAATACAGAACATTATAGAACTTATCAAAACAGAATATTGAATAAAGCATTATCATTAATCAAAATAGAGCAAAACAGTATTAAAAATATTTGCCTTCAAAGAGGTAGTAGAAAGAAGTCCCCGTAGTTTGCTATGTTCAGATTCCCAGGATATGCTCAGAATTCTAGTTCCCATTTGCTAATGGGGGGAGACAGGAGAAGAGGGGTAGGGGAAGTGGGATGTTTCATTCTAAGCCATGCTATTGCTAGTAGGGAGACAGGCTGGTTATTTGGTTTAACAGCGTCCTAAGTTCCAACATGGCATGGATCACAGGAGCTGCTCTTGGTTCTCCCCTTGGAAGGGCTGCAGTCTGCCAGACTGCCACCAATTACCAGTGAGTGGACATGCTTGCTTGGTGTCCCATTGTCCTAAATTCCGGCATGGTTTGGATCTCAGGAATCTGCTGTTTGTTCGCCCCCTATAGGGGCTACAGTCTGCCACACTGCCACCACTTACCAGGGAAGGGAGGTGCTTGCTTGGCTTCCCAGTTGATTGATGAGATATTTATCTGCCTCTGTTCTATGTGGATGCTGGTTGTGCAGGCTTCTCACTGTGAGCTCTGCTTTAGAGACAGTACATAGGGAATCTTGCAGAGACTCAGCAAAAGAATCTGTGCACCTATTTCGCTGTTACATTAGCAATGAGTTACAATCTAGCATCAAATTTGCTGTCTTCAAAAATGTGTATATACACAAAATTAATGACAAAGACGTGGATTTAAATTTGAAGACATCAGTCTTCTTTCAGCTGTTTTGTTTGGTTTTATTTGTTTAGTTTAGTTTTGTTTTATTGAGACAAGCTTTCTGTATGTATATCAGCTGGATTTGAACATCCTATGGAGCCTAGAATTGCCCTGAACTCACCGAAGCCATTCTGTCTCAGCCTTTTGAGTGCTGGGATTATAGATATGCACCACCACACTTTGCTTTTGATTCAGAATTGTAGGAGAGAATTTAAGATATCCCAAACCTGAGGTTTGAACCTTCCTTTGAGAAATATATGTATGATCCTTAGGAGGCGGTGACCTTTGAGGATGTGGTTGTGAACTTCAGCAATGAAGAGTGGACTTTGCTGAGTCCATCCCAAAAGAACCTCTACAGAGATGTGATGGGTGAAACCTTTAGGAACATGGCTGCAATAGGTAAGGATGAATTCTCTTTGTTACTCATGCTGTCAGAATATTGTTTGGTGCTCATCAGTCCTGTTTGATTAAAAAGAATGTGAGAATGTTCTTAAAAATAGCTCAGACCTGAACACATTATATCATAAATCTAAACAAAATCTCTTAATTTGTATGTATTACTGTAATGAGTCTTGGTATTTCTATGTCTACAATTCAGGAGGACTTGGGGATATCCAGGAAGCTGAAAAAGAATGCAAAATTTACTGGAGATATTTAAGGTAATTTTCACTTAAAAGGAAAAGTAATGTTCCTGACTAATTAGTGAATCAGCAGAAAATTGACTACCAAACAAATGAGGCACTGGAGGCTGGGGATTTAGCTCAGCGGCATAAGCACCTGCCTTGCAAGAAGGCAGTCCTGAGTACGATCACAGGTACCAATAAAAAAGAAAAAGATGAAGAAAAAAAAAAAAAAGAAATGAGGTACCATTCATTTTAATGTCAGTAATATTCTCCAAAGATGTATAAGCTAGGGTGTGTTAAATGAGTGAATCAAATCATGAAAATGTATCACATTGCATATAGAGGTGTACGAAAGGCATACACTTTGAGTTATGACATTCTGCCTACAGTTTTTCTACCCATATATACATGTGAATACAACACATTCATTAACTAAAAATTGCTAAGATTGCAATGGGATTTGAAATAAAACTGAGTGCTCATGTTTCCAAACCATGCTCTAGAGAATCAGCTATTCTCATTAAAATTCTTAGTAGGCTGGTAGGCACTCATTCTGAGTATCAGTATGCAGTTGTCTCTAGAAATTGATCCCCTCATACTTGTCCTTGTTATAATTTTAAAAACTCAAAATCCACATAAAATACTGATACATGTTTACTCATATACAAAGCAGATCAAGTTATAACAGATCACGCCTTCAAGAATATTAGCTATCTGTCACTGGATTCGTGAAGAAGGAAAATGTTAATAGACTCTCTGTGATTGTGCATTCTTGTAAACTCAGCACACTAAGAGTCAGATTTTGCAGAATGGCAAATTTAAGTTCAAACTTCACAGCTTAATGAACAGTGAAAATCTCTTAAAATAGATAAGAAAAAAGCTATAGATTTTATGCTAATACCTGTTGTTCATTCCTAGCATGGAAAAGAAAAAAATGTGTAATATAGCATCAAAAAATAAATAGTATAATGTCATTTGCCATAAGAAATAGATGGGTCTTTCTCAATTCAATGAAATAGCTCAGCTATGAAACCAAAAATTTACAAGGTTTCTTTTAGATGAGAAACCAAAATATAAAGTGGAATGAAATGACAGTGAGTTGATAGAGAAAGGTAAGACTGACCATTTGGAAAAGAGAACCATAGGTTAAGGACAGAAGGGAGATTTTGATGGGGAAACATATCAAGTTATCTGTCTGTGATACACATATGTACTCATTCCCAAAGTGAAGCTAAATATACTGTTTTTCAAAAGGTACCAAATTTTAAGATTTCCAGAGCTGTACCAGTCTTTTGGGAATGGTTGTTTTCAACATATTTTACAAGGCCATTCTGTTGCTTCATGGTCAGAATTTCTTAGCAGGCATTAAAAACACAACTTAACATTAATGCAGTCATTAAACCGAGACCAATCTCACTGTGAATTTTTCTTTTTTTTTTAATTTCATGTAAGCAAAGACTAAACAAAAGAAAATAAGTAGAAATAATACTATTTCAAAGTGAAAATAAACAGTAAGAAATCACAAGATGATGATTACATATGGTGCTCATAGAAATAGTTAAGATACAAAAGTGAAATATATGAAGTGGGGATTGAAACAAGACTGCAAACAGTTTTGTTCAACTGTCCAACAAATCTTAGTAATACGATTATCAATCCTATATGTGATTTTTTTTTTTTTTACAGAAATGACAAGCTAGGGAAATCCTATGGATATACATCTTGGAATCAGTGTAAAGAAGTATTTCTTTGTACTGCAGGAGGTAATGTGGACATGAAAGAAACAAAAACACACCACAATGTTCAGATCCATGAAAAATATTGCAGTGGAGGGAAACCCTATGTATGCAAGCAATGCGGGAAAGGTTTTACCACACATGGAATTTGTAAGAAACATGAAAGTATTCACAGAGGAGAGAGACTCTACATATGTAAGCAGTGTGGGAAAGCTTTTAACACACGTGCAAGTTATAAGGTTCATGAAAGAATTCACACTGGAAAGAAACTCTATGTATGTCAGAAATGTGGAAAAGGTTTCACCAAATCTAGTCATTGTAAACAACATGAAAGAATTCACACTGGAGAGAAACCATATGTATGTAAGCTATGTGGGAAAGCTTTTAACACTCGATCATACTGTAAGATTCATGAAAGAATTCACACTGGAGAGAAACCCTATGTATGTCAGCAATGTGGAAAAGGTTTCACCAAATCTGATCATTGTAAGAAACATGAAAGAATTCACACTGGAGAGAAACCGTATGTATGTAAGCAATGTGGGAAAGCTTTTAACACACAAGCATACTGTAAGATTCATGAAAGAATTCACACTGGAGAGAAACCATATATATGTAAGCAATGTGGGAAAGCTTTTATCACACGTGCATATTGTAAGGAACATGAAAAAATTCACACTGGAGAGAAACCCTATGGATGTAAGCAATGTGGGAAAGCTTTTAAGACATGGGGAGATTATAAGAAACATGAAAGAATTCACACTGGAGAGAAACCCTATGTATGTCAGCAATGTGGAAAAGGTTTCACCAACTCTGGACATTGTAAGCAACATGAAAGAATTCACACTGGAGAGAAAACCTATGTATGTAACCAATGTGGGAAAGCTTTTTCCCAACATGGAAATTGTAAGACACATGAAAGTTCACACTCAAAATTAAACCAGTATATATAAGCATCATGAGAATGGTTTGCGCACATGTACATATTGCATAATGTATGAAAATCTTCACACAGGGCAGAAAACTTGTATATGGAAGGAATGTGGGAAAGATTTCAGCAGAAACTCTCATTGTCCAATACTTGAAAAAATTTGACCTGTTGAGAAACCCTGTGTATGTGAAGAATGTGTGAAGCTTTCACCACACATGGATATTGTAAAATACATGAATGACTTCACACAGGTGAGAAACCCTATGTATATAACAATGTGGCAAAGCTTTTACCTCATAAAGTCATTGCAAAACACATGAAAGAATTCACACTGGGAATAGCCACTGGCTATATAAACAAGTGGAGACACTTTTAGCAACCAGATTGTAAGTGAAATACGTGAAGAAACTCACACAAGAAATAAATCCTATGTGTTATGGGAATACTCTTAGCACACATGATCATTGATACATATCTGAAAGAGCTCACTGGGCAGAGATCTTATGTAGATTAACAATGTGAGAAGTACAACAATACATGTTTGTTGTTAAACACATAGAAAAAGCATCACTGTTCAGACAGTTTAGATCTAAGTTTACTTTAAAAATCCCAAGGGGACCTAAAGAATTAACCAATGCAGAAGTTTGATGTCAATATTTCTTGACAAATTTTTCAGAAATGACAAATCTGAGGTGGAGCTCTACTCAAGTGCACATGTTGTATGGTTTTCAGTTAATCACTTGTACCAATTTAGATTTTTTAGAGTGTCTTTGTGCTTCAACATGGCATCTTGTAATTAAACATGGTAATCTGAAGTGGGCTTTTCAATTTCAAGTATGGATAGGGTATATGTACTTAACATTTTGTCTTTAAAACCTAATTTTTATATTTTTGGTGAATTATAATGTTTATTTAAACAGAACAAAACAGAAAAAAGAGAAATAATACAGAATTTCAGAAAAATAAACAATAAGAAATCACTAGTTCATTAGTTACATATTGTCATCTTAGAAGTAGTTGTTCAAGTTATAAAATTAAAGCATACAAAGTGATATTCAAATAACAACACTGTGAACATTTCACCTCAGTGTTCCAACAAAAAATTCTTAGTATGCTTATCTGTCCTACACACTTGTTTTTTTTTCTTAAAGAGCATAAGACTAAACATGACAAAGCAGAACAGAACAGTTCATAGGAAAACAAGTTAAGGGAACACAGATTTCAAAGCAAGTCCACTGGAGATGTTCACTGTCTATCTTACTGTCTCTAGTTTTCTTCCAAATAGTTGTTTCCATCTTCACATGCATTGAACAAATACTGAACATTATAGAACTAATCAAATAATTGTGGGATGATGCAGGATTTTTTGATCTTCAAGACTGATTTTGAGGAAGTCGATAATGACTACAATAATGTCTCTCATTCTCTTCATACTAGCTGTCTTTATCTTTATGTATGCTGAAATTGAACATAACAGATTAGACTAATGTCACTCTGAACAATGAATAATAGTATCCTGTGAAGGAAAAATGTGAGGAATTGCCTAAAAAACAAGGCAGAGGACATTGTTAAAAGTGTATCAGGATTTAAAAGCTACGGTAGTCTTATTGCTCTGTTTAGTTTGATTATATTTTGTTCTGGTCTGTCTACTCATATTAGATTTGAGGGCACAGAGAGATAACCCAAAAACAGCAGGTTATACCATGGTATCTATCCTTAATTTCCTATTAACTTAAACTGAAACCCTGTATTACTTACATTGTCTTCTATGACTGATCTTCTTTGAAGCTGGTTTCTTTGAGTGCTATTTGGCCTTAACTGATTTTATTCCCATTTGATATGCTTGCTGGTATCAAGTCCATGAATAGAGGTAACTACTCTGAAGATGACCAGATGTAAAAGATATACATTGGGGGGCTGGGGATTTAGCTCAGTGGCTTAAGCACCTGCCTGGCAAGTGTGAGGTCATGAGTTTGATTTCCAGTAACAAAAAAAAAATAAAGAAATAAAAGTTATCTATTCCAGGTTTGATTATTTCTTTATTTAAAGAGAAAAGAAAGGAAATAAAAAAAACAGCAGTAGAAGGGTACAAATAATGCAGAATTTGAAGAAAAAAATACAGTAAGAAATCCCTAGTTAGTAGGTTACATATTGTCATCTTAGAAACAGTTGTTCAAATTATAAAATTAAAGCATAAAAAGTGCACATTCATACAGTGAGACTGCCGACAGTTCCATTCAATGATCCAACAAAAGCTCAGAAATATGGCTTTCCATCCTAAACACTCAAACATGCAGGTATATCCCTTAGACCACCTTCCTTTCCTCTCTTTTTTTACAATAACAATTACACTTTTTGGGTATTTTTATTTCCACCATTCATATTACTTTGTTTTGAAGAGAATAAAACATAACATGACTAAACAAAACAGAGTCAGTTAGAACAGAAGGAGGGGCATAGTACATGATGCAAAAATAGAATATCAGGTGATCAAAAATGGTTACCATTGTGCCTCTTGCTATTTTTAAATAGAGTTGCCTATATCATTAGGTTTAATAGAATTGATCAAAACAGTACAGAACAAGACCAATAAAACCTACACTGGAGACATTACATGTTTTCAAAAGAAGATAATAGTCAAACCATAATGGGCATTATAGTAAATCTTATTGCCTTCAAAGTGGTTGCCTATTCCCTCAAACTTGATACTATCTAACAAAATAAAATATAGTAAAATCAGACAGAACAAGATGGGGAAAGCAATACTGGGGTTCAAATCAGGTTAACAGGAAAACAAAAAAGTTACTATAGTATCTCCCACTATTTTTTAATTTAGTTTTCCCTTAATTGAAAAAAATAGATTAATTTTTATAAAGGGTGGAGATTGATATAAAAGAGGACATTATAATAGAACAACACAGATCACAACTGAACAATTTAAGCATCATTGTGTTTCACCCACAGATAATCTAACATGATAATAGTCACCATAGTGCCTCTTTCCTTGAATTATTTGAGTATAACTTTGTATACTATAGCATCAGGTATATCAAGACAGTATGAAGACATTCAAGAGAAGGAAACAATTACATTGTATTTAAAAGCAGTTAACACAAAATGAAAAATAGTTTCTATATTATCTCTTTGCCTATAAAAATTTTGTTTATACTATTGCATATAGTAAAATATTGTAAGATACAACATGTTAAAACCAGTGGAAACAGATGTACAATAGCTTGATGAGATTTCAAAACAAGATGATATTGAATCAGCACTAGCTTTTATGATGTGTTGTTTTGTCCAGAATAGCTATTCATACTATCACCAATACTAAAATCAAATAACCCAGGTTAAAACCATTGCTCATATTGAGTGAAAACATATGGATTTAAACCAATATGATTGGGAATCATGATTACCATGTACTTCTATGTATTCTTATCATTTCTTACACTAGGGAAAATATTTAGTATTTATACATGTGAGTTTGATTTATTTCACTCATCAGTATGTTCTCAAGCTGCGTCCATTTATTTATATCTCAATGTGATCATTCTTTATAGCTGAGTAGTACTCCATTGTATAAAAATACAACTTTTTTATCCATTCTTCAGGTGATGGACACTTAGGTTGTTTGCAAGATCTGGCTATTACAAATTGTGCTGTTATAAACACGGGTGCACATATATCACTGTGGTATGATGCTTTCAGTTCTTCTGGGAATATGCCTGGAAATTGAATAGCTGGGTCAAAAGGTGCTTCCAGTCCCAGCTTTCTGAGAAATCGCCAGACTGACCTCCACAACAGTTGCACTAGTCTAGACTCCCACCAACAGTGCAGGAGAGTTCCTTTTTCCCCACAGCCTCTCCAGCATTTGTTGTTGTTGGTTTTCTTGATCTTGGGCATTCTTTCAGGAGTTAGATGAAATCTCAGTGTGGTTTTAATTTAAATTTCTCTAATGAACATTGATGGGGAACATTTTTTCATGTATTTATTTGCCATTTATATTTCTTCATCTGAAAATTGTTTATTCATCTCAGATGCCCATTTTTAGATTGGGTCTTTCAATATTGGGGGTGTGATTTTCCTTTAATTCTTTATATGTTTTAGACAGAAGTCCTTTGTCTGAAGGGCAGTTAATTAAGATTTTTTTTCCCCAGGTTTTGGGTTTTCTTTACACTATGTTGGAGATTTCTTTTGACATGCAGAAATTTTTTAATAAGAGACCATACCAATTATTGACTCTGGGAAGTATTTCCCATGAAGTTTGAGTCCTGTTCATGAATTCTCTACCTACTCCTATGTCTTCAAGGTTTTTACTCAATTTGTCTTCCAATAGATTTAGTGTTTCTGTTTTAATATTTAGATCTTTGATCCATTTAGATTTTATTTTAGTACATGTTGATAGGCATGGGTCTAGTTTTAGTTTTCTGCATATGGAGAGCCAGTTTTTCACCATCATTTATTAAAGAGACTGTCATTCTTACAGTGAACATGTTTGGCGCCTTTATCAAAGATAAGGTGGTTGAGTGTGTTGGTAGTTGTGGTTGTATCTTCTAATATATTCCACTGATCTTTGGTTCTGTTTTGGTTCCAGTACCATGTTGATTATATTTCAGGTGCTTTGTAGTATAACTTCAAGTCAGGGATTGTGATACCTCCTGCCTTGCCTTTGATACTTTTAACTGTCCCTGCTATTCTAGGTTTGTCCTCATTCCAGATGAATTTTAGGGGAGATTACTCGAGTTCTACGAGGTATATTGATGGTATTTTTATCGGGATTGCATTGAACCTGTATAAAAGTTTTGGAAGAATGGCCATTTTCACAACATTTATTCTTCCTATGCCTGAGCAATTGATGTCTTTCCATTTTCAGAGATCATCTTCAATCTCTTCTTTCAGTATGTTATAATTTTACCTGTATAGGTCTTTCACTTCTTTCATGAGAGTATTTCCTAAATATTTCATTTTTTTGGTTGCTAGTGTGAAGGGTGTGACCTCTCTTATTTCTCTCTCTGTGAGTTTGTTGTTAGAGCATAGGAATGCTATTGATTTTTGAGTATTGATTCTGTATCCAGCTACATTACTGAATTTATGTATTATATCTAGGAGTCTTTCAATGGAGTTTTGGGGATCTTCTACATAGAGTATCATGTCATCTGCAAATAATGATAATTTAACTTCTTCTTTTCCTATCTTTATGCCTTTTATTTTTTTCTCTTGTCTAATTGTTCTGCCTGGTATTTCCAGTACTATATTAAATAGGAGTGGTGATAAAGGACATCCTTGTCTTGTGCCTGATTTTAAAGTAAAGGCCTTCAATTTTTTGCCATTTAGTATGATACGGGCTGTTGGTTTGTCATAGATTGCCTTTATTATATTGAGAAAAAGACCATCTATTCCAATTTTCTGTAAGGTTCTTATCATGAATGAATGTTGGACTGTATCAAAAGCTTTTTCTGCATCTATAGAAATGATCTTTTGTTTCTTAAATTTGGCTTTATTGATATGGTGCATTACATTTATTAATTTATGTATGTTGAACCATCCTTGTATGCCTGGGATGAATCCCATTTGGTGATGGTGTAACATCTTCTCGATGATTTGCTGCATCCTATTTGCCAATATTTTATTGAGGATTTTTACATCTGTGTTCATTATGGAGATTGGTCTATAGTTCTCTTTTTTAGTTGGGTCTTTCTCATATTTTGGTACTAGAGTAATATTTGCCTCCAAGAATGTCTTAGGAAGGATTGCTTCCCTTTCAATTTCATTGAAGAGTTTGAGGCATTAGGTCTTCTTTGTATTTCTTGTAGAATTCTGAAGTGAATCCATCTGGCCCTGGGCTCCTCTTTGTAGGTAGGGATTTAATTACATTTTCAATTTCATTAATAATAATTGGGTTTTCAGCAGTTTTATATCTTCTTGACGTAGCTTTTGTACTTCATATATTTCTAGGACTGTGTCTATTTCTTCTGTGTTATCAAACCTTTGAGAGAAAAGGTTTTCAAAATCGGTGTTGATAATCTTCTGTTTTTTTATAGTCTGTAGAGATTTCACTTTTTTCATTTCTTATTGTATTAAATTGAGCTTCTTCCCTTTTTAATATAAGGTTGGCTAGGGGCTTATAAATTTTATTTATTCTTTCAAAGAACCAACTCTTTTATTTATAGATTCTTTGGATTGTTTTCTTAGTCTCTATTGCATTGATTTCTTCTCTGAGGTTTATAAATTCCTCGCTTCTTTTGATTTTTGTCTTGACTTGCTCTTCTTTTTCTAGCTGTTTGAGGTGTAGTATCAGGTTATTTATTTGTATTCATTCTGTTTTCCTGATGTGGGAACTCAGTGCAATAAATTTTCCTCTGAGGATGGCTTTCATAGCATCCCACAGGTTCTGGTATGTTGCATTTGTATTTTCATTTTCTTGTATGTATTGTTTAATTTCTTCTTTAATTTACCTTGTGACCCACTGATTATTCAAGAGTGTGTTATTCAGTTTCCATATATTTGTGGGATTTTTGCAGTATTTTTTATCATTAATTTCAAAGTGGTATGATCTGATAACATGCAAGGGATAACTTCAACTGTTTGCATTGATTTAAATATGTTCTGTGAGCTAATATATGGTCTATTATAGAGAATGACCCATGTGCTGCTGAGAAGAATTTGTATTCTGATGTTGTTGAACAGAACACTCTGTATATATCTATCAAGTCCATTTTTTCACTTGAGTGATTTAGTTTGCTTATTTCTTTGCTGATTTACTGTCTGGTTGATCTGTCCTTTGGTGTCAATGGTGTGTTAAGGCCTCCTATTAAAATTGTGTTACTGATAATTTGATTTTTCATTTCTGTTAATACTTGTTTTATAAAACTGGGTGCTTTGGAATTTGGTGCATATAAATTTAATATAGTTATCTCTTCGTCTTGAAGTTTTCCCCTAGCAAGTATGTAATGACCATCTTTGTATCTTCTGATTATTATTGGTTTAAAGTTACACTGTGTCTTCAAACAGA